ACCACATCAATTATTTATCGCCGTGTGTAGCTGGCAAAGTTTCGGAGGCCAACTCTAGTCTGACCATAATGCCCCCCCCCCTTACCCCCTCCCTCCCTCGGCCTAGCTGCTGCTGCTTCTTCTTTTACTTCTTTTTTTTTTTTTTTTTTTTTTCTTCTTCTTCTTCTTCTTCTTCTTCTTCTTCTTCTTCTTCTTCTTCTTCTTCTTCTTCTTCTTCTTCTTCTTCTTTTTCTTCTACTTTTTTTTCTTCTTATTCTTTTTCATCGTCAGTAAATTACTGACTCAACAACTCTTACCAGAGGGAGAAGAAGAAAAGAAAGAAGAATTTGGGTTTTGTATATATATATATATATATATATATATATATATATATATATATATATATATATATGTGTGTGTGTGTGTGTGTGTGTGTGTGTGTGTGTGTGTGTGTGTGTGTAAAACTATATATGAAAATTCCTAAAATAATTTGCCTACTCCCCATAATAATTTATATAACAGCTCCATAATAATACTTAATAATAATAATGCCATTACAATCCCACAAACTGGCCAAGACTGATCCACATGGCCCAGTTATAATGCTTTGAAAATCCACTTAGTAATCCCAGTGATCACAGTTATCAGAATCCATATAAGGGGAAACAAAATCAATGCCCACATCAGAAATCTGTGTAGTATTTGCTGCTAACTTTATGGCAAACCTGGCCTAGGGATATGCGGAACTCGGGGTAAGTGTGGTAAGGGGAACAATTGTCAACGGCACGCTGATCGAGCTGAAGTATAATTTATGATTTAATGAAAATAATGAAATAGAAAACCTCTGGACTTCTGGTAATTTCCCCTAGTCTCTGGGTTAACAGATTAGATCCCCGTGTGTATTGTTGGCAGTCGGAAAACGAAAAGTATAGCCTAACGGCGCTGCCGGGACAAAATTGGAGTCAAAAATCTATCTAAAGTATTTCAGGATCCTCGCCGCTGCTTCTGAGTTCGTGCACTGCGCTAAGAATCTTCTGACTCAAGCTTTAAACAGAAGTAGAAAGGAACACTTATGGGTTACTACCCTTGTGCCATGATGCTGATCCATGGTCTAAATCTAAACCTTTCGTTATTGGACTAATGTTCGCAAGCTGGTTAACTATAAGTAAGAACCAGTGTCCAAACCTTCATGTGTATTGGAGACATAGGGTTACATATAACCTAAATATTACAGACCAATCGGCAGGAAGAACAAAGAAGAAAAAAGAAGAAAGAAGAAGAAACGAGAAAGAGGAGACACAAGACGAACGTTTCTCCATACAATAATCGCCCTCAAAAAGGCCTCAGACATTGCCTGAAGACAAGAGAATGTTCCAGAGCCTGAGACTATGAACCCGTGGACACCAGGAGACCCGAGGATGTCTGCAGCAGTCGTCGCCCGGCGCCATGATTCTCCCCAGCTCTCCCGGCCACTCACGTCTGCTCCGGCAGTCACCGCCGGCAACTGTTGGTGTGTAAATAAACCATATGGTGCTCATATTACACTAACTCGCTTTCAGACACGCGCGCGTACACACTGAGACTGCAGTGTGGAGCAGTGTTCATTGGCACTAACACGATTGTGTGACATAGGAGTCAAACATAGTGAAGCACGGCTATGCCGCTTTCGAGGTCGAGACAGGAGACATTATAGCTAGCCTCTCATGCGAATCTTTAGTAGAAGTACTTTGGAGTGACTGCTGCATTGAAGGCTTGAGCACGCATGTGCAGTGATGTCGACTGTAATAATATAACATAACATCTTTGGCAGCAAACGAAGAACAAAGATGGAAACGGTCAGGGTTCGGATCTGATCATGGTTAAGCCAAGGGAACAGGTATCTGTTGATCTCATGAGAGATATAGTGTCACAGGTCACAGAGGGATGCCCAGACAAATGTCACTGGGCAATGTCACTAAGGGATACATCGACACATGCAACGGGGGAATACATCCACACATGTCACTGAGGCATATATCCACACATGTCACTGGTGGATTCATCCACACATGTCACTGAGGGATACATCCACACATGTCACTGAGGGATACATCCACACATGTCACTAAGGGATACATCGACACATGCCACGGGGGGATACATCCACACATGTCACTGAGGGATATATCCACACATGTCACTGAGGGATACATCCACACATGTCACTGAGGGATACATCCACACATGTCACTAAGGGATACATCGACACATGCCACGGGGGGATACATCCACACATGTCACTGAGGGATACATCCACACATGTCACTGAGGGATACATCCACACATGTCACTGAGGGATACATCCACACATGTCACTGGTGGATACATCCACACATGTCACTGAGGGATATATCCACACATGTCACTGGTGGATACATCCACACATGTCACTGAGGGATACATCCCCACACATCACTGAGGGATACATCCACACACGTCACTGAGAGATAATCCACACATGTCACTGGGGGATACATCCACACATGTCACTGAGGGATACATCCACACATGTCACTGAGGGATACATCCACAAATATCACTCGGGGATACATCCACACATGTCACTGAAGGATACATCCACACATGTCACTGGGGGATACATCCACACATGTCACTGAGAGATAATCCACACATGTCACTGGGGGATACATCCACACATGTTACTGAGGGATATATCCACACATGTCACTGGTGGATACATCCACACATGTCACTGAGGGATACATCCACACACGTCACTGAGGGATACATCCACACATGTCACTGGGGGATACATCCACACATGTCACTGAGAGATAATCCACACATGTCACTGGGGGATACATCCACACATGTCACTGAGGGATACATCCACACACGTCACTGAGAGATAATCCACACATGTCACTGGGGGATACATCCACACATGTCACTGAGGGATACATCCACACACGTCACTGAGAGATACATCCACACATGTCACTGAGGGATACATCCACACACGTCACTGAGAGATAATCCACACATGTCACTGGGGGATACATCCACACATGTCACTGGGGGATACATCCACACATGTCACTGAGGGATACATCCACACATGTCACTGAGGGATACATCCACACATATCACTCGGGGATACATCCACACATGTCACTGAAGGATATATACACACATGTCACTGGTGGATACATCCACACATGTCACTGAGAGATAATCCACACATGTCACTGGGGGATATATCCACACATGTCACTGAGGGATACATCCACACATGTCACTGAGGGATACATCCACACATATCACTCGGGGATACATCCACACATGTCACTGAAGGATACATCCACACATGTCACTGAGGGATACATCCACACATGTCACTGAGGGGTACATCCACACATGTCACTGAGGGATATATCCACACATATCACTGGGGGATGCATCGAAACATGTCACCGAGGGATGCATCCACACATGTCACCGAGGGATACATCCACACATGTCACTGTGGGATACATCTACACATGTCACTGAGGGATACATCCACACATGTCACTGAGGGATACACTGAAACACGTCACCAGAGAATGTCACCGAAGGGATGTTCACTGAACACTGAATTATGAAAGTATAAATGTGGCAGATTTTCTTATAGACTCTTACCTGTCCGAATTTTCACTCCCATCAGACGAAACAGATCTATTTGTTTAAATAATAAGGAAGACAAGACAGCCAATTCAATAAGACAGACAATTCAAGAAAACAGACAATTCAAAAAGATAGACACGACAGAAATGAGCGACGCGAGACATGACTGAAATAAGATAGTTAGATGACTCAAGACGACAGAGAAGACAAAACAAACAAGATAAAGGGAGAGGGGAAGGCAATGTAAGCACAGTGAGAGAAAAGTTAGGAGACGCGCAGTAAGGGAGGCTAGAGGGGGACTGGACTATGAGTAAGACTAGAAAGAAACATAACTACCACAGAAGACTGGAAGAAAACAGCACAACAATGGGAGACCAAAAGGAAACAGAACTATAATGGGAGACTTAAATTAGATAGAACTACAATGGGACACCAGACGAAGACAGAACTACAGTAAGAAACTAGAAAATGACAAAACTTCTACTATGGGAGACCAAAAGGAAACAGAACTCCACTCAAAGACTAGAAGGAGACTGAATTACTATGGGAGACTAGAAGGCGACATAACTATAGTGGGAGAATACAAGGAGACAGAACTATAGTGGGAGACTATACGGAGGCAGAACTACAGTGGCAGATTATAAGGAAACAGAACTACAATAGGAGACAAAAAGGAGACAGAACTATAAAGGAAGACTAGAAGAAGACAGAACTACAACGGAAGACTAGAAGAAGAAAGAACTACAATGAGAGACAAAAAAGAGACATAAGTCCACTCAGAGACTAGAAGGAGACTGAACTACAATGGGAGACTAGAAGCAGACAGAACTAAAGTGGTAGACTAATAGAAGACAGAACTACACTGGGAGACTAAAAGGAGACAGAACTCCACTCAAAGACTAGAAGGAGACTGAACTACAATGGGAGACTAGAAGAAGACAGAACTACAATGGGAGACTAGAAGAAGACATAACCACACTGGGAGACTAAAAGGAGACAGAACTCCACTCAAAGACTAGAAGGAGACTGAACTACAATGGGAGACTAGAAGGAGGCTGAACTACAATGGGAGACTAGAAGCAGACAGAACTACGACTAGTCAGAGACAGAACTACAGTGAAACACTAGGAGACAGGGCTATAAGGGAAGGCTAGAAAGAGATTAAACTTATAGGGAAGACTAGATGATGTGTGCAAGAAAGTGAATACAACATTGAGTGTGCTCGAATGAGAGAATACACGAGATGTTTAAGCATCAGAGTTACAAACCCCATGTGCTATAGAATGAGAGAGCAGACGAGATATCTAATGAGTGGGAATGGCTGTGAACATGCAGCAGAGACTGACGAGCCTTACCGTGGGCAGATCTGTAACTGTGCATGGCCCTAGCCGAGGACGGGTAGTAGGCCGACCCCATGTGCCCACTGCCGGAGTCCAGCGAATGAGGAAAGAACATGTCGCTGATATCTTCCGACGGTAGCATTCCTGATGTCGCAGGTTCGTATCCGTTGCTCATGCGAGTCGGATCGGCAGGGTGGCCCAACCAAGCAGGCGAATGGTGCTGCTCTGCCGCCATCGCCATGCTGATGTTGGGGTTGGTGTTGCTGAAATACGTGGTGGAGGTGTTGGTGTTGCCGGCTGTCGACTTCAGCCACTGAAAGTATCTATTACAGCTGGTTGTCAGTCCTGGTTCTGACTGAATCACGGCCACCGTGAGGGTGGTTCTGTACTGAGAGGAGGACACTCGAACCACAAGTCAAACACTCGATTAGTTGAACTTCCGACTTGCTAGGTCTGCTGGCTCAGAATGTCTCCACTGTTGGTCGGCATGTTGCGAGCTGGAGAATGTACATCATTCTCCAAGGGAAACAAATCTTCGACTCTCTATAATCAGTAGTTTGTGACCAGATAGTTGTTTTTTCATATATTGTACACCTTTGGAAACAGATTCGAACTAGGACTCTGTTCGTTTATGTGCACAATTGTTTATCTAAAGGTTGCAGTAGTGTCACCAGACTAAGTATAGTTACAACCTGACGTCACTTTGTTCTGTGTAAAACGACACGATTTTGGCAGTGTCACGTGGTGGTGAAATGGTTGCCTTTGCACGTGTTTTATCCTCAAATAATAAAATGATGATTTGTTTCTGGAAACGTCTTCACAGTCTGGGGTGGACTGTATGGAGTCTCTGCGTACAGGCGGTTCAGTGGTCAGTCTTGACCGTTCCAAAATTGTATCTGGATAGGAGAAAAAAAAGATATAATATACACAAACAGATATTGATGACGTGTGAAATATTGGATCCTGAACAGTTTAAGTAGCCGAATAGTTGCCAGGGCTTGTGATTCAATGGAGTTGCAGTGATGAAGTGGCTAGATGTTCAAGTTCGGATCGGAAGGTCGCGGGTTCGAGTCCTGGAGGAGCCTTATTTATTCAACGGCCTTGCCTTCCATGTCGACCCAGCCTTGAGTGTGTACCAGGTATAGTCATGGGAGGTAAAGACAACCGGTGTGATGTTAAACACATCACCCACCGAGTCTTACTTGTCAATAAATCATGGGTTTAGCCCTATGTGCCCAGTACGCCTCACGGCGTGGAAAAGGGTCCTTTATGACCGAAAAGCCACAAAGATAGTTACAGAAACTGGTGCCCTCACATGAGACATTACATTTATGACAAAAGCTGTCCACAGAACAAGCATATTGGCTTAGGCGTTACAAACGAGCTTCGTAATGCCGGGGTGCCGGGTTCGATCCCAGCTGCAGATGGTTTGTCTTGCGCTGGTTGCGTTGACCGTTAGAAAGCATTGGCAAACTACTAAAATTTGCTAGAAAAACCACCACAGAATAAAAAAAAATGTCAATGCTGGAGTTGGCTCCTGTAAAGGATAAGCAGCTAACTTTGCATGTGCGTGTGTATGTGCTCGCGCGCGTGTATATTTAATTAATCAAGTAACAGAAAGTGTATTGTGAACGGCACTCATAGAAAGAAGTAGAAAGATAGAAGAACACACTAGACAACATAAAAATAGAAAGCTATAGTTACCGTGCCGGGAATTAAACCTGTCACCTCCAGACGGCGTCTGCGCCTCGCCATGAATACAAGTGCAGTAAGATACATGGTCAACTAGTGATGACTATTATATACTTCAGCTTTCGGGACAGGATGCGAGCCAGTTTTCCTGGATGCTCAGATTAAGTAGGAGGTCGGCTGTAGACAATTTTCTGGTGTCCCTGGCTTAGGCGTTGCGAGTCTGATTCGTAATTCTAACATACCGCGATCGAAACCCACTGCTGGTTGCGTGGATTGTTTTCATGGGATGGGACCTAGCAGGTCGACCTAGCCTAAAATTGGTAACACGATGTAATTCCTGAATAAGTGAAGACGGACGGCGTAATGCTGACCACATTACCCACCTAGTGCCGACTGGTATGTAAAAATATGGCTGCTCTTCCCAATGCCCAATGCGCCCAAAGGCGTAACAAGAGATTTAAAAAATAATAATAATTTCAGTTAAAAAACTTCTGATTGGATTTGTTTCAGTGATTTAGTGAGTCCATGACTGATATCTATTTATTGTCACGGGAAAGATGCATGACCTTGAAATGTTTACTTAAACTCGCTTGCAGGTGATACGTCATAGGTATAAAATACTTAACTATTATTTATATTATCATTTAATTAAACTTGAACTTCAATAATATTTATTAACTTTCTACGTCTGTCTGTGTCGATGTTAACTAGGGCTATATTCGGGGAATTGTTTATATCAGAACATCCTAAACAATCATGCACGGGCTTATTTCAGTGTTAGGTATTACTTTCGGGAAAACCCGATAATACCCTCTCTTCTATCGGGATTTGTTAACTGGATTTTAGAATGCCTGCCATGTCCAGTGTGTTCTTGTAGCTTTCGCTTTTACAACCAAAACATCTGCTCGTTCATTTCCTCGCACTCCTTCATATTTCAGATAGTATAAAACTGAAAAACGATACTATTGAAAATTATAAAACACGAGGAAAGACACGTGTCCCTGATATTAGAGTGATATTTTGTTGTGAACTGATATCTGGACTAGCAGCGTTTTGACAACATTGTAAACACTTAACAACATAACATAGCCAGCAGAAGATAGAGATAAATAAGTCAGTGCCTGATTTAAGCATAAGCTAAACAACCTGCAGTTCAGGGCTATACAATCTGCGGGTGCCTCAAAAAATTCTTTTTTACGTAAAATATGAGAGTAGATGTTTATTGTTACAGCCTCGATCACTTTTGGCAAACGTCAGTTCAGTCTTTGGTCATTAATAATACCACACACTGAGCAGATATTTGCTAAAAGTTAGCGAGGTATCTATAAACCTCTACTCTCCGATGTTATGTAAACAGAAAGATCACATGATTGATTTGAAGTTAACGTGACTGATTTTGATTTTGAAATGCTTATTTTTTTTCCCCAATAAGGCAATTCTCGTTAAAAAAAAACAACACTTTCATTCAATTTTTTTAAATAAATATAGCCATTTAGACGATTTATCCGATTCTAGAAAAAAAAAAATTCTTCATCATTTCTTTTACTAAAATTGCAACACAATTTATTTCCATCATCTATATACTTAAAGGGCTTATATATTTTAAAGTTTTCTGAGATAAGCTGGCATATTTAAAATGGTAAGGGCCTCAGAGTTTTGCATAACATAGGGCCTCTGCTAATTTTAATCCAGGCTCTGAGGTCAATGGAGGTGGTCATCCAACTCAGAACAGGCTCTGAGGTCAATGGAGGTGGTCATCCCCCCCCTTGCGTAAACAGAACCCCCCCCCCCCCCCACCACCCCCCCCCCCCCCCCCCCCCCCCCCCCCCCCCCCCCCCCCCCCCCCCCCCCGCCCCCCCCCCCCCCCCCACCCCCCCCCCCCCCCCCCCCCCCCCCCCCCCCTCCCTTTCCGCTCTGAATGGTCAGAAGAAAATGCGGACTTGAAAGATTGTGTGCCGAAGTTAGCTGACAGATGTATTTGTTAACATCAACACATTTGATCACATTTTTTGTAAATATCTATCTAAGTCGTCCCTTCGTGGGATGCGATTTCTCGTTATTTGAAGCCCCACCCTGGCTTTTGCCATACGTTTTACAGATCTGGCTTATTTGTACACAGATTGTTGATTCCTTGCCTCTCAGTCAGATGTAGTCCGACTTCGAAGGAAACTGAATTAGTCAACTCTAACGACATGTTTGTTAATTAGGCAACGAGTCTATACTTGTTTTCCCATACAATGGAGCCCGTAACCCACACATGGAGAGAAAAATATCTCAGATATAAGAATATCTAATATAGAAGAATATCTAATATAGAAGAATATCTAATACAGAAGAATATCTAATATAGAAGAATATATAACAATGAAATATCATCTAATAAAGTTCAATAGTCAGTACAGAATAATATCTAATAGAGAAGAATACCTATAGATGAATATCCCACATAGAAATATATCTAAAATGAAAACAAAAATCTCTAATATAAGAGAATGTCTAAAAAAGAAGAATGTATGTTGATGGATATCTGCTAAAGAATAATATCAAATATAGAATATCTAATAATGAAAAATCTTTATTATTGAAGAATATCTAATTTAGAATATCTAATATAGAAGAATGTCTAGTACACAGTAATATTTATATATAAAGTTTGAAGTTTAAACAACAGATACAATCATTGCACACGGGTAGTAACACATAAGTTCCCCGTTCTTTCTTCTAGCTCAAGTCTGAGTCCGAAGAAGCTCAGCACGGTGCACAGGCTCTGTAGCATCGGCGAGGATCCAAAAAACTTTGGGTAGATTATTACCTCAAAATTTTGCCAGTGCAGCGCCGTTAAGCTACTCTTTTCGTTTTCCAACTGCCAACAATGCACACGGGCGTCCGATCTTACTACCCGGAGATAGGTGAAATACTATAAGTCCAAGACAACGTGAAAAAACCTTAGTTCTTACCGGTGATTGAACCCGGAACCTCTAACACTCGAGGCAGATACCATGCTTCGAAACCACACAATCCCCTTAAATTTATGTATATAAAAGAATATCTAATATAGAATATTAATTATAGAATATGTAATATAGAACAATATCCAGAAGATTATCGAATACAGAAGAATATCTAATATAGAACAATATCCAGAAGATTATCGAATACAGAAGAATATCTAATATAGAACAATATCCAGAAGATTATCGAATACAGAAGAATATCTAATATAGAACAATATCCAGAAGATTATCGAATACAGGAGAATATCTAATATAGAACAATATCCAGAAGATTATCGAATGCAGGAGAATATCTAATATAGAACAATATCCAGAAGATTATCGAATACAGAAGAATATCTAATATAGAACAATATCCAGAAGATTATCGAATACAGAAGAATATCTAATATAGAACAATATCCAGAAGATTATCGAATGCAGGAGAATATCTAATATAGAAGAATGTCTAATATAGAAGAATGTCTAATATAGAAGAATGTCTAATATAGAAGAATGTCTAATATAGAATAATATCTAGTATAGGAGAATATTT